CTTCCCCCTTTGTTATAACTGACATTTGTAATTTTACACTTATGAATGTGGTTGTTTGATTACTTACTTTCTTCATGGGATTGGAAATTCTGTGGAGTAAGAATGAATGTTCTGGAGTTTGTTTTCCCCCTTCATCATCTAGCTAGTGCCTACAACACAAATCAAACCCAATGCCATCATTTCAATTCAGATTCAAAGAGACCCTCCAGTAGGTTTCCAAGTCTGTAAATCTTTCTAGGAGGAAAGTGCCCAGTTTCTCCCTTGGGGTGCCTGGTGGATTAAACGGTCCACCTTTCAGTTAGCAGGTAGGAACTAAATGACTAGGGATCCTTAGCTTACAGCCTTGTTGTTGTTGTTATATGCCGTCGAGACACTTGTGACTCATAGCGGCCTTATGTACAACAGCCCTCAACTCTGCTCTGTCCTGTGCCAATCACACTGAGGTGCTAAATAATTATCAACTGAACAAATGGGAAAAGTCAGAAGAGAAATCTGTCAAAATTATCTATCACAGTTAGAAGAGAAATTAAGTATGAAACGTTAAAAGCGAATAGAAGAAAAATAAATGAGTCAAAATGGGGAAGGAATGCAATATAAACTGTGACTTAATTAATTCAAACAGCACCCAGGTCTTATGTTCCCTAGAGAAAGTTAAGAGGAAGTAAAGTTAAAATTTCAGTTAGCAGTTATTTAGGTGGCAGCTATAGTAGTCTGGGCTGTGCGGCCAACCCAAGGGCACAGCGTTTGAATCTGTCAGCTGCACTGTGGGAGAAAGATGAGCAATCTCTTCCTGTGCAAACCCACTAAAAGGGTCAGCTATGAGTCAGTTCTGACTATACAGTATACAACAATACAGTATACAACAATAGCTTTTAAAGGAAAAGATTACTTGAAGTAAGACTAGAGACTTAAGTAGGAATTACACCTCAACAGCAAGAAAAAAAAAAAATCTTCACATTAGATCAACAAGCAATATTGTGATAAATGGGGGGAAAGTCTGACATCATCAAGATTTCAATTTATTTGGATCCACAATTAACAACAGCTCATGGAAATAGCATCAGGAATCAAACAATGTAATGAGAAAATCTGTTACCAGACTTTATTAAGGTATTAAAAACAAAGATGTCATGGTGTGGACTAACGTGCACTTGATTCAGGTCATAGTATTTTGAAATGTTTTATATCTGTGCAAGATATTGGACTATTAATAATAGAAACCAAACAAGAATTCTATGAATTACGGAGTGGAGAAGAATATTAAATACATTGCAATACAACATGCATGTGTGGTGAATCCGCCAGGTGCTCCTCGGGAGAAGAATGGGCAGTCTCCTTCTATGTTGTTTACTGCCTCTGAAAACCCACTTGGAGTATGTGCCAGTTCCAACTCGAAGGTGAACAACAACAACCAGAAAAATAAATATGAAAAAAATACAAAAAACAAAACAGATCTGTCTTGAAAAAATACAACCAGAATGCTTACAAGTAAAGATGACAAAATTTCTCTCATATATATGAGTATATGAACATGGCTTCTGACTCAATAGTACCTAACAATTCTTTAAACATGTTGTTGTATGGGTCGAGTGAAAGCTTATTTATAGCTGACCCTCCAGCAGATTTTCAGGCACTATAAATCAGAGAGGAGACTGTTTCCACCAAATGTCTGTCTATCTCATCTCAATAAATGAGTTTCCCAACTGTGCAAACTTAGATTCTGAGTCATGTTTGAACCACCTCTTCCCTGACCCTCAATAAGCCCTATATTCTGTACATTTCAACATAACACTTTGCCCCTTCAATCTCTACTGTCACCAGTGTAACCCAGGCTCATATCACTTCTACTTAATGTTGTCAGCTACTAGCAAGCAGCACCAAACTTCTCCTGCACCATCTCCTACCTACTCCTGTAATATCCTCCTGACTCATCTTTATTCTTGTTATTTTCAAATTCATTCCATATCAAACAGATAAAAAGATAAATCAATCATGCTATTTTCTTACCAATGACTTCCCACTGTTCAATATGATGAAATGGAAAAATGGCACCATCCTAATTCAGACAGATAAATTTCCTGCCTTATTTTTCTAACTTTCATTCAACTTGTTCCTTTACTTGCTATCCTTTTGCCCCAGTGATCTATTAGTCTAATAAACTAAACCTTCATACGTATTTTCTATACAATGATGTGTTAACAGTATTTTCTTCATACACAAATCACCTCTTCAGGCACTCCTAACCTGATCATATTGTTATGTTACATCAAGTCAAGAGCCTGAACACAGCAATATGTAAAAACAACTCCCTCATTCTCTCATTGCTATTTCTTCAATAGGTGTTTTAGTAGAACTGGAAAAAAAAAACAAAACAAATTAGTTTCTCTTTTGATAAACACATGCATATTTATCAGACTTGGAATCTACACGACTGTAACTAACAACTGCTACAACTGCTGTTATGGGCTATCAAATTAGAACAAACTCATAACTGACCCTCCAGCAAGTTTTCAGAGCCAATGAATCACACAGGAGATTACCTATCTTTCTGTTGTCAAGCAGCTGGTGGATTTGAACCATTTGCCTTTGGGTTAGCATAGCAACTCTTAACCAACAAGGTCACCAGAGTTCTCTTTGATTAACAATTAGGAAAAATGAAATACTAAAAGGGAATAATGTTATGTTTGTTCATGAAGGGGGTATGATAGCAACATTATCATTTTTATTATGTGAGTTAAAGTTTATAGAGCAAGTTGGTTTCCATTCAATTCATACACATCATGTTTTGTTACACTGACTATGCGACATGCATTTTAAATAGATTTGTCAGATCTGAGCAAATCTGAATAAAGTAGCTAACTATGTAAAAATTTTGGGGTAAGATTGTTCTAAGTGGATTATTTTTTGTTTACCAACATTCTCTCCTGCTAAATATAAACTCTTAGAAGAAAAGGCTTTGATTATTTTATGCACTGCTGTACTGGCTCTGTGGAAGAAGGAAGAGTAATCCTCCCCCCAAGTGATTTACAGCCTTTGAAAAGCCATGGGTGGGTGACCTATGAGTTGGTTCCAACTTGAGGGCAATTAACAATAATACTGCCTTTGGTACAGTGCCTAGCACAGAGTAGACGTGCTGTAACTGAATGAAAATCTATTTCAGTTTTTCCAAAGTCTAGTGGAGAATAAGGGAAGCAGCTCCCCTAACAGTACGTAAATGTTCCATACAAGATAGGACACAGGGTTCAGGTCTGTTGTTTACAGGGTTGTTGTGAGTCCTACTTGACTGCACGGCATCCTACAAATAACAGCAACAACAACGGAGAAACATTTAAAAAAAAAATAGAAGTTATAATGGAGTATTTTATGATTAGAAGTAGATGGAAACAAAAACTATGGTAAATAAAACACAAATAGGAACATACAAAAACTCACTGCTTGTACAGTCAGTGCCGATTCAGACTTCCACTGGGTTTCCAAAGCTGTAAATCTCCATGGGTGGAGAATGCCCATAGAGCCACTCTACTAAAAAGCATTCCATTTATCAGATACAATAAAAAGTGACGCTCTTGTTTGTGCTGTCAAGGTAAATCCAACCCATAGCTGAACCACTATCTGATTTTCAGAGGCTGTAAACTGCATGGAAGATGACTACCCCCTTTTTTCCCCAGAAGCAGCTATTGGATTCTATATGCCTGCCTTTGGGATTGGAAGACCAACGGCTTACCCATTAGGCGACCAGAGCGAGAGCGAGAGAGAGAAACAAAAATCCTTGCTTTCCTCTTATATTCATGCTCAAAACAAGTTACAATAATTTTCTTTATTGAGATGCTGAAGAAAACATGATGAAACTCTGATCTTTCAAACCAGAGCATTTACAGACTGCATATTTGTAGATCCCGAAATTTGGAGCCGCTCTTATATGCTGACTTTATGTTTTTCCATCTCTCCTATCATCATCTGTTGTTGCTGTGTACCACTGAGTTTCAAATGACCCACAGCAGACCCTTTAGCAAGTTTTCAGAGACAGGAGGGAGGACTGCCCATCCTACTCCCTGCTGCCGGTGGATTCAAACCCTGTGCCTGTGAGACTGCGTCACAGTTTCTTCCCACTAGGCCGTCAAAACTTAATCAAAAGCCTAAAGAAATCCAGGATTCACAACAGCAGAGAGAGAAAAAAACATCAAAGCCCACTGAATCATCTGAGAAATGAATATACTGTTAAGTATCAGTAAACCACCTTCTGAGTTTCCTATTTCAAGTCATATAGTAACAATAATGCATACAGCACCACCTGTAAGCCAAGTGGCACGGTCATCACAGCGTTACAGATACCCATTTTGCCCAAACTAGAGTGCAGGAAAATGAAATGAACCCAGAAGAACAAGCAAGTTAGTGTATCTCACTAGAAATCATGCAAGGCTTTTGTCACTTTGGGGTTTTTGTCCCCCCTTTCTCTTGTCACTTTTCACTAACGGCTGGTTTGTCTAGCAAGATAAGACTTCTCGCTTTGTAGAATATTGCACACGTTTGTTTTTTCACCTCTGCCTCCATTCACTAAGCAGACTATATTCAGTCGTGTTCCAAGTACTATTAAAAATACTGATAATATAAAGAGTAAGGGAGATATATCCACCCTCGCATCTCTTGTTAGAATGTTACTAGAGTTAAGATACACTTTAATTCGGAAATTTTTAAGTACTTTCTGAAAAAAGATACTGTTTAGGATGAAAAATCATCTTTGTCAAACGACCCTAAGAGTCAGTTGAACCCAGGACAGCAAATAATCCATTTTCCTTAAAATTCTACTTACAAACTCAGTTACTAAACAGTCCATCGTCAATTTAAGCAACGTGAACATGAACTTTTGGTCCACACTTACACAATGAATTAAGTTATTTGGGGGAGCCACAGAAAAGGCAAAAAGAGCCCATACTGGCATCTATTAGCACTACCTTCGACAATAACACAGCTTTTACGAAGACTGGCAGAAAATGTTTCACTTTCCCTCGCAAGTGAGCAGAAAATGAGAATCAAAGTTCGTTAGCTTTGGGGATCGTCTCAAACTTGACGTTAGAGGCTGCATCCTCGTCTGTTCCTGAGAAATTATTTCTAAAATATCTCTACAAAGTACACTTCGTAAAGGTATTCTGACAAGGCCAGGCCCTCCTCTGAAGTAAACATCAACCAAATTAAGGCTCTGGGAGACGAGAGTTCGGGGGGATAAGGACACGGCCTCCAATACCTGCTTCCACGGGCTCCCGATTTCCCCCAACCTCCCGGCAATCGGAAACTTTCCACGAGCGAGAGCCGAGCGCAGGTCGGTTCCCATTCTCAGGCCACCGCCAAAACTCAAAAACCACCCAGGACTCGTTGCAGCCGCCCCCCTGTCCCGGCTCGCGGCCCGACCCCGCCGCCCAGCGCCCTCGCTCCACGCCCGGCCAGGCCGAGCGGACTCGAACCCGCCGCCTCCCCAGCGCGGCCCCTCTCCGCCATTGCCCCGGCGGCCCCCAGCCCTCGTTCCCCTCAGCGCCCTAAAACCCATCCAGTGCGGGCAGCTAAATCTCTGCGGTCCCCAAGAACTCCGTTCTCCCCAGGATCTCCCCGAGTCTCCCCCGCAAAGGCAGAGAGAGATACGTACCTTCCAGAAAAGTGATCTCCGCGGCGCCGCCACTCTTGCCGGCCGCCATCTTCCTCCTCCCACGCCGCCGCCTCCTTATTCCATGGCCCAGCCCGCCGCCACGCTCGCCGGGATGAGGGGCCGCGCCGAGGGAGGCTAGCCGCTGCAGGGTTGCGGGCCTTCCGTGCGGCCGTCAGGCGGGCGGCGCTCCCACCGCCACACCGACCTACACAAAAGCCGGCCAGGCGCTCCCGGGCCTGTCCGCGGGCCGCTGGCTGACGAGGCCCGCGGCCGCTCCTCAGGCCCCTCCGGCAGAACGCAAACGGCGGCGACGGCGACGGCGTTTCCCGGGCCAGGCTCCTCTCGGCCCACGACTCCCCATCCACCGCCCAGCTAGGCCGTCCGAAAAGCTCTCACCAGCTCCGGGTCTCCAGGAAGGAAGGGGGAAGCCGAGCGCACAAACACACCTCCCTTCGCCCCGGGCAGTAAAATGGCCGCACCAGGGCGGCAAGATCTCCGCGACCGTCAGGCGCCCCCGGGCCCTCCGGTGTCTCTGCAGCTCCCGCCGCTACAGCCGTCACCCCACCCCGCCCAGGCGCAAATGCATCAGCGTGGGCCTTTGCGACTGTCCATGTGGACAGGGGTGGGTCTCCTCAGCCACCGCCGCGCGTCGGTCGCCACAGCAGCCTCCGCCGCTCCTCCCCCACGGCCGTAGGAGCTACCGCCCCCGCCCCGCCGCCGCCGCCGCCGCCGCCCCGGTGCGGCTCCTCGCGAGTCCGGGCTCGGCTCGCAGGCTGCAGCGATGGATGCCCGCCGCGCCGCCTCTCTGCGGGGCAGGCCCTGCGCTCGCCGCTCGGTCCCAAATCCCAGCCGCCGCGGGCCGACCTGGCTGCGGAGCGCTTCCGAGCGGCACCGCTGTTGTGCTGAGGCCGCGTGGCTCCCCGGTGTGGAAGAAATGTAAAAAGTGCATTTCGTGGAGGAGACCTTAGGGTTGAAACCGTAGCCAACGAAAGGGAAAAGATAAAGAGATGGTGCATGCAGTTAGCAGGTTTTGAAAAGGCTCTGTGGTCCTCGTTCTTGTCTTTTTCTTTCTTTTTTTAAAAGTTCTCGAAGGAATTTATCAGGGAGTAACATTCGGGAGTCCTCTGGATGGTAGTGTGAAAAAGAAAGTCAATCCCTTTATATTCCTGCGCCTGAGGCTTCCAAAATAGACCTTGTGTCTTGTTAGGCCTTATCATTGTGAGTGACAATAATTCACTGAGTTTCCCCTCCCTTTTATTATTTTTATTACTAAAAAAAATTTCATTAAAGAAGCATTTGAAAGTACAGAAAAAGTGACGTTACCTGTAGTCTCAGCACTGAAGCTCAGCTCCTATAGGTGAAAAGTTTTCTAGTCAGCACTTTTAAAAGTTTCTAAATTTTTAAAATTTCTCACTATTCCTCTTTTTAAAAAGATTATGTATGCTCTTTGGCCATGGAATTAAGCAGTTATAATAATGCAGGAAACACTGAGTACAATATTTAAGGGATGAGTCATGCTAATGTAATTGTCCTGTGAAGCAAGAAACCTTTTTAGTCTCAAATTTCTTTAAAAATCTTTTCCTAAAATGGAAAATTATTGTCTCCTAATTAAGATAGAGTAATGTAATGAGTATAGTTTGTTAAAATTTGTTGAGTTTTGTTGATGGAGGATCTTGGGATATTGCATGATAATGTTGTGACTATGGCTGTCTGTGCCAATTACGGTAATAACTGAGGACTGGAGCTAGTAGGCACTTGTGGCCAACAGGACTCCTTTTACTGAATCCAGAATGTAGTTTTCAAAAGTAAATTTCTAATATTAAAATACGAGCATCTTGACTTTGAAGTTGGAGAAAGAGCCAAGAAATGTGGGTTACCTTTTGGAAGTTGTAAATGTTAAAGAACTGTATTCCCCATAGAACTTGCAGAAAATATACTTGTTGATTTTACTCTAGTGGGATGATTGTTGGATTTAGGATGGACAAAAGAACAAGATAATCCATTTGTGTTAAGATGTTAAATATTAATTTATTTCAGCAGCCACAGAATATGAAGAAAACCAGAATGGTAAATCAAGCCCTTTTTCAAACAAAATCAGAAACTCTGGAGGTGAGGTAGATAAATCTGTTTTAACAAGCATTTCAGGTCATGCTGCTGTTGCTGGCCAAGGGACTGACTTCACTTTGAGAACCACAGACTGAACAGTCTCTGAATCTCCACTTCAATTGTTTTGACTCGATGAGTCAACAATTATGAGTAAAATGGTCTATTTCCATATTCAGATATTGTTGCAGTTGTGTGCCACAGAGTCAAAATTGACTCGTAGCTGACTCTCTAGTGAGTTTTCAGAGGCAGTAAAGAGAATTACTTTTCAGCATTAGCTAGTAATTGCTAAAGATCATATATCCCTTTATAAAGGATACAAGGCTAGAGTTAGAAAAGGTCCCTGAAATTCAGACTTATTTAATAATACACGCATGTACATTTAGTGTATTTACAAATGCATATCTATGGAAAATAGTGCCTATAGCAATTAGTTTTAAATTACTAAATTGGCAGTGGTAACTGGGATGGCAAATAGAAACTGTTCATTGTCACCTCATTCTCACCCAAGGGCACATGCCACACCCTAAGTAAACTACATATATTTACACTATTGATAAAATCTTTATAGTGGACTTCCAGAAATAGATCTGATTGAGGAAACAAGTTTACTAATAAATTATCAGAAAAACTTGTCCTACCACTCACCTAGCACCACCCGATAATAAATTCAATGCCATATACCTTTAACCAATCCCATAATCCCACTTACGTATTATTCACCATCCCAGTCATTTTCCCCACCCCCTCCTGGTATTTAACTCCTCTAGAGTCTGCAATTTTGAATTTTGTAACTTTTTATTCCTACTCCAAATTTGTAAGAATGTATCTTTTTCATTTTTTATCAGAGCCCCTTTTTCATTCTATGATGTAGATGTTTCCGCATATATACTTTGCTAAACTTTTGCTGTTGCCTAAGCAAACCCCATAATGTCACTCTATGACAAAGCAAAATTAAATTCTGACATATAACGGATAAAAATTAGATTACGTTTGAATAGATGAGAAATGACTGTCAAAGAGAGGAACTGATAATATCTCTTTCTTTGATTTTGGTGTTTTGTTTTTAGTGGGTTTTTTTTGTTTTGAAACCAAATATTCACTTTAAAGAAATTTCTGGCCAATATATGAACCTGCTCACAGCTTTTCTTTTACTCTAAATTTTAAGTCCTTTCTTTTCTTTCTTCAGTATTGACATCTGTTTACTAAATTTGCCTCTCAAAATAGATGGCTAACTGGAGAAGTAGAGACTGTCATGAACTGATAGTCATTGATTCAATAAAAGTAGCAAAGTGATTGGTCTATATTTCTCCCTTCTGTTCTTTGTGAACATCACATTCTGTCCATTTGCTTTTGTTCTAGAATCAAAATCATTTCCTTAAAAATGGCCAGAATGTGACGTTCATAGAGAATGTTGTTGTTGTTGTTGTTGTTATGTGCTGTTGAGTCGCGACTCATAGCGACCCTTTGTACAACAGCCCTAAACTCTGCTCTGTCCTGTGCCAATCACACTGTCTCTGACACTCCCATCCCAATTACCCCAGGCACTGATTATCCCAGCCTTCCCCTCCTGTGCTGTCCCTCCACCCTCCCAAGCATGATGTCCTTCTCCAAGGACCAGTCTTCCTCACAACATGTCCAAAGTATGTTAGATGGAGCCTCAGAATCCTTGCCTCCAAGGAGCCACCTGGTTTAACTGTTTCAAGGACCAGTCTCTTTGTTTTCCTAGCAGTCCATGGTACTCTCAATACTCTTCTCCAGCACCACAGCTCAAAGGCATCAACTCTCCTCTATCCTCCTTGGTCATTGTCCAACTCTCTGATGCATAACAAGTGATTGCGAAGACCATGGCCTATATCAAACGCACCTTAGTCTCCAGAGAGATACCATTGCTCTTCAGTACTTTGGAGAGGTCCCTAACAGCAGACTTTCCCATGGCAATGCACCTTTTAATTTCCTGGCTACTGGTAGAGAGAAATACAGATCAACCAGTCTGCTTTTACTGAATCAATGGCTATCAGTTCATGGACAGTCTCTGCTTCTCCAGAGGTGAGAAGAGTAATCATTGTATAACTTCTAGAGAGCAGCTGTGAGGGGGAGGCCACAGCACATGCCCTGTGATGATTAAGCACCTACCTAGGTATACTCCATCCAGAAAGGAACCTTACAGCACATGCCTTGTGACAACTAAGCGCATAACCAGGCAGATACTATCCTTAAGACCAGCTAAACAAATCTCCTGATTTTCATAATCTCTCCTTTTATAAGATAACCTCCCTGTTGTCTGTTGCCTGTTGGTCCAACTGTGAGGATATTCCCCTCAAAAGTTCTAAAGAAACATTGCCTCTTACCCACAGCCTTACTTGGATCTACAGTCAACACCCTTGGTACCAGCAGTCAGGAAATCAGGAGAGGTATTGTACTAGGAAAGTCTACAGTCATGGATCTCTCCACATTATTGAGGAGCAGTGATGTCAGTTCGAGAACTAAGGTGCATCTAATGCAGGCCACAAAGTCTTTTTGATCACTTGCTATGCCTCTGAAAGTTGGGCAATGAAGGATGACAGAAGAATTGACACCTTTGTTGGAGAAGAATGCTGAACATCACATGAACTGCCAAAAGAACAAACAAATATGCCTTGGAGAAAATGCAGCCAAAGTACTCCTTGGAGGTGAAGATGATGAAGCTGGGCATTTTGTTCGGAGAGGAGAATAAATATATATATAAAGTTTCCAGAGGCATGTGGTTTAGGAAGTGGATGCCACTCCTGCTTCCAAACTTGCATCAGTCTGGGAGCTCCACCAAACACTGCCCACAATGGGTAGCTATTACGGTGTTTGACACACCTATGGTACAGTTGTTCCATTATGGCATTTGAAACCCAAATGGCACAAGCTTCAATGTCACAACAAACCCAGATTACCTCATCACACCAAATTGGCCAGAGTGCTGTGTGACTTAGAAGAACCTTCCTCCAAAATATAGTAACAAGAGATTAATCCCTCAGGCCTGGCTTTTAAATATAAGGGCCCTGAAGGAGGTCTTGTTGACTCTAAACAAGAGGCTTCAATAAAAACAACCAAACAATCCACAGATTCTGACAAAAGCACCATTTTACAGGCTCCAGCCACTTCATCCAAATCCAAAATGGAGTCAAGGGCTTTGGCATTATATCTTGTTGTTAAGTGCCATCTAGTACTAACCCTATAAACAAAAGAACTATTATCCTTCTAAGTTCATAGAGTTTTCACAGATCCTTATTTTTTTTGTCAAGGCCTTCAGTACAGCTTGAATTTCTTCATTATAATTGGTTCTGATGTTATGGTTCTTCTTGAAATATTTCAGTGTTGGCCAACTCTTTTTGGCACAATGACTCTGTATATCCCTTCCATTTTTTTTTTTATTGTTCCTACTGGACTGATAGGCAATATCATGATAAATGGAGAAAAAGATTGAGACTGTTTAATTTTATTTGTATCCAC